TGCAGTAGGACCCTTAGTTGTTTACATCTTTATCAAACATTTTTAGCCGTCTTTAACGTTTTCATGTATAAAATCCAAAAAGCGTTTTTACCAGTAGTGGAGTATGGCACGCTTAGATTATTTCACGAATTGTAACCGCTAAACTGATGCAGCTTTTTTCACATGGCCATTCTTCCTACTAAATTTCATTCTCAATCGATTTTACTTGCTCTAGGCTCTAGACTGTGTTCTACTTGCCGTTAGGCATCACATGTTTCTTCCAGGGCTTTTGTGAAGAACTCTAACAGTGGTTTTCCTGATGTACGTTTGACATCTCGAGGAATCCAACTAACGGCTTTTGTCCATCGGTTGTATTCCATACGTATAACATATTCGATATTCATGTAGAAACGGAATCCTGAAGCAGCGGCCAAAATAACACGCTAAATGTTCGAAGACCATTGTGGACGATGAATGCGAGGAGAAATGAATTGAATGCAAGAAGCGCTGGCGTCTGCACAGTAAGTGTGATGTTTGGTCATGTAAAATGTAAAAAATGCAACTGCTCGTATATTTAAGGTTTTTTTTAAAAAATTTTCGAACCTAATTGCTAGTTGACCAGTGTAAGGGGCACCATTCGGAGTAAGCAGCCCCAGCGAAAGGGTTCTCTGGTGATTCTTTTGGCCGTTTGGCTTCACTAGTGCATATTACTTGTTGCCGCTATGGAAACTAATACTTTTCACGAAATATAACTATTATTATAATGCTGAGATATTTGCAAAGCTCCGGACTGCAGGTGCTTCGTTACTTCGTTTCGTCTGTCTCTCAGCTAGTTCTATCAATCTCTGCCATCAGCAATCACCCTGAGACCCGCATGGTGTGCTGGTGAACGCGTTACTCCCTGGAAAGGACAATAACGCGTTCGTTCCGCACCGCAAGCACCTGCAATCCGGAGCTTTGCAAATATCTCAGCATTATAATAGTTATATTTCGCAAAAATACCCTGCCCTTAAAAAGAATAGGCAGTAAATAAAATGGTTAATACTTTTTATCTTTTTCTTGTTATCGGAATGCCTATTTTAGCTGTTACTAAGTCACATTTGTTAGCACCTTTCTATAGTCTTTAGATCCGTCACAAGCCAACTATGTCGTCGCGGTCTTGTTAGATCTCCTAATCTTCCACGCGTGTCCGCAAGTGTTGTAGGCTTCACGATGTTTCTCTGCCTCACGCAGTCAATCTCGCTGGAATTAATACTGTTTTCACCAACTTTGTTCTCATGCTGAAGACCGAGCTATCATCGGGAACTTCAAGAAAAAGCGAAGAGAATTAAAATAGGAAAACTTTCCTAAAAGTGGCAGGAATATGATCAAGAGTGTATTTTGGTCTCCCATAAAAAACATGATTTTGTAAACACTTTTTTTCTTTGCCATTTCTTTTTTATTGCTTTAGAAGCTCAATATTCTGCTCACAAAGACCTCTGCATTCGGTAATACGTAGTACAATCTCCCAATGAAACATGTTTTCGCCAAAAAAAGGAAAAGAAATTAGAAAGAAGAAGGAAAACCGACGAAAAATCGCTGTAAATTTTTATTATATAAGAAATATTTATCATCAGGTGTAAATAATTTTCGTCCGGAAGCACTGCAAATCGCCGAATGTCTTCTTACTTTGTCAGACTTTTCTTAACGGCTTCAGCATCTATTCAGTGGGTTTCAGTTCAATCTATCTACAAGGTCTTTGGTCATCTTCCGAGGTCTTTACGACACTTCACTGGATGGCAGTGTTGTGTTCGTCAATCAAGAGCACTAAAAGACTGTTTTGTAGTCGACATCACTCCATAGACTATTCCGGCGATGGGTGTTTAGCATGCATAAATCTGTTTAGCCACTTTTTTTATGCTTCTTAAATGGTTACAATCGCTTTTTCTCATCACCCAGGTGGCCCGACGATGAGGGGAACGAGGAATTTCGGATGGGCTATCGACGAATGTGTTAAGTGCGTGTATGTCGATTTACTAGCGCTTCTATGCATCCCATGGGAATGACTGGGTGATTCGTCATTGCTATCGGGTACGGCATTGTCGCAAAGTCCGTGAAAAATGTTCATCTCATCGATGCCACTACTAACCATCGTAACTCGTGACCACTACATTCAGACCACATTACTCCTTGTTTTCCAATTCTATGCTGTTTTTCTGGAGCACTTTTGTCCACCCATAGTAGTCATACGTCATGACCAAACACTTCAATTGATTGCGAATTGGAATGTTAACTGAGACGAACGTAGTGAAAAAAAAAACATAAAAATGATGTAGTAATGCCGTTGTTAAGAGGTAAAGCAAATGGCATTTCTACTTCAAACTTCATCTCCAACCCTTCCACTTCATTAGATCTTCATTGCATTGTAGCGCTTTTAATGCTAACTTCACTTCATTGAGTTCAACTCTTTTACTTCATCAGACTTCAGTAGTACACCATCTTATTGAATATGCTAATCATCAAAGAATGAAAATCTACTTTTTAAAACTTGTTCCTGCTACGACCAGGTAGATTCTTCATTTTGTAAAGTAGATGTTAACGGTGCTATTCAAACCACTTACCTTTACCTGTCTTGTTTCGTTAGTATTTAACTGAAATTAGAAAGCGTTGTTCCAGAGTCTCACGCTATACTGATTTCTTTCAGTACTCTGAATGAAGTAGGCTTCATGTTTAAAGCTTGATTTCGGAATGTCGTCTGTGTCGAATATGACCCTAGATTTCGCTTAGATTTCTGAAACTTAGCTTGTCTTACAGAATCGTTTTGAACCCAATGGACCTCAGCTTTCTCTGGTAGAGATTTCGACGTTATGTTCTTTCCCACTTTTTCCAAGAGGTTTGAAATTCGTCGTTAATGCAAACTGCCCATAAAAGATTTAAAAGCAATAGTTACCTCACGAGTAGATTTTCTCAGTCAGACAATAATTCTTGACATGTGTTTACTTCTAGCCGACCTGTTACTAACGATGATGACAGATATTTTTAGTTTTATAAAATCTCAGTGTAGAATGAACTGACTGCTGCCTGTTCAACAAATAACAACTCTCTACAGTAAGCAGGAGTAGACAACAAGTTAGAGACCATTTCGTTACCTCTTTTTTTTGTCTTTATATTCATGTGGATTTCTTAAAACCTGTCAACCAACTTCTTGTTAATGTTGTTTGAAGCACTGAGGGCGAAGAAAAAACTCTGAATTAGACCAACTCTCAGTGACTGTTGGTGATCTGAGACTACATTTGGGAGTTAAGTAATGGGCGATCTGTAACGCGTAAGGATTGATGTGTACTGTAGAGTAGAAGTAGGCAGCAGGTGGAACAATACGGCAAATGATAAAATGTGTATTGATGAAGAATCCTTTCTCAAGTTGTTGAGATACCAGCATACCTAAGGATACAATAGCAAATCGTTTAACGTTTTTAAGGGATTCGTCTTACACCGTCGACTCCATTAAGCATTAACGAGTGATTTTTGTAGTATATTTGGTCTATACAATAGGTTGTGATGGTCTAGTGGCGTAATACTTCTGGGATTTTTTATCCTCCCAAACAAATCTGATACCAGTCTACCCACTTCAGAGGAATGGAAAGCTTCGTCTCCACCGAGAGCAGAATCGAACCAGAGATTAACGTGTGTACATTGTCACGACTTCTGTAACCACTGCGCCACACACGCACCTATTAACATATTCAACATGATCAAACTCAGTGATGAGTGATAAGCTAGCTAATGCTGCGGACGATTTTGAGTTATTTCTGGTGTAATCAAAACCGTGTAACATCAGGACGAATAAAATCCCGTCACGGTAGTTGAGTTCTAGCAGAATGATCCTGATTTGATGTGAACGAATTCGCACAACCAAACTACTAACGTCGAATTCACTCACCTAAGTAGCGGTGGGTTTTCTCGTTGGGCAACGAGTGCAACGATTAGAATAGGTAGTTGAGGAGGAGAAAGTGGTAGGTGGACAGAGGTAGTTTGGTGACGAAAGCGAGGTGCGGTGAGGGAAATAGCGTTCGACAGACGCCCGACTCAAATCGCATGTGCTACTTCTAGGTTATTCCTTCTACTCCTATTCCATCCGCTTCTGTAATTTGTCTTCTACACAGTATCTTCATCAACCGTCTTTCCACTCTACCTGGTTATGTTCGATTTGAGGATTTTTCCAGTCATTCTTGTCTGAATATTCTAAAATGTATCTTGTCGCGTTTTTGGTTTAATTTTAACACTTCAGTAGGAATTCGCATCCTTATTGTTGTATTTGTAAATAAACATCTTGTTGTCATTATAAAGTTTGAGGTTATAGTGAGAAAACCACTAACAACAGGAACCACGCAATAAAAAGTGTCCACATTTATCCCAAAAATACCTCACACAAACTATATGTATTGATTTAATAACGATATGCTTTGATTATTTGTCCACTTATTGCTTAAACGGAATCAATGTCTATCTAATTTCTGAACTGATAGGCCTTTCTTTTGCTATTTCAATCGAAGATTCTCACCTATCATATTTTCTCACTGAAGAACGTATATGTCGATGGTTTTATGTTGAGAATTTTTCGCATGTGTTCACATTTTCTGAGATGTAGTGATGAATTTTTAAATGTCAAATGAATACAAGGATATGACAACAATCGTGACGTCATCGTTTTTTTTATGTTCTTAATGGAATTCTTTACAATCAGTTAAAGTATTAAATTATTACGACGTCTCACTTTGTAGTCATTCTCGTTTCATTTCGTCTATTTAAATTAAACGTTAGGTCTTACGGGCTTCTGTTGCATCCCTTTCTCTTATGGATTACCGTAGTCGGCAGTTGGTGATGTGCTGCTACTGCTGAGATTCATTCAAGTGCTCTTATCTCTTATCACCATCATATCACTCTTTTCTGGTGCCGATTTTTTTGCTCAGTTTTCGTCTTCCTCGTTATTCAGTGATTTTTTCTGTCCCTATCGATCTTTTACTGGATAATATAAGAACTGTATGGAAGCATTACAGACAAAATATGCCGTGATGTCTTTAATCGTTATACTTTTCGTCGTCGTCATACAAACTGCTCACGCCTTTCTTTTCAACTCAGCTGCGGATATCGCTCATTGCTATGAACTGGACGTTGAAAATTGCTTTCGCGAGGCATTTCTGGTTTGTTTTCTTCCTTTCGTTTGCTGTTCAACTATGACGACGGGTATTCGAATATTCGAACGCTCCGTTCACTTTCATTTCGAATAGACCAGGGTGTTTTATTATGTCCTGATCGTCAAAATGGAATGTTGAGAAAGACAGAGTGGAGGAAGTAAGAGGGAGGGAGGGAAAGTTGATTAGAAAGAAAAAAAGGCGAGAGAGAGGAAGGGAGAGAAAGAAGGAGGAGAAAGTGCTATGAGTCAATTTAAGTGTACTGAAAATAGCACTCATTTTCGAAATTCGTCGTCCGCACTTTATTAGATTGTACAAACAAAAAAGGGATAGAAGAAAGATGAGTCCGATAAAAGTTGGTGTTCTACAAACGGGAAAAAATAGGCCAGAAATCTCGCCAGTTAGTAAGTAAATGCTTAAAACGCTGAAATACGGACGAAGTTCTCGATTTTTACTTTGTTCTTAGCTCTTTCTATTTTTTTTTGTTACCATTATTTGGCCTACGTATTATGATGGTCTTCAAAATTTCTTCTTCATTTATCAACGAGTAGTCATATATATGAGGGGCGGATAGCACAGTGGTACTGATGTCGGTCATCGCGAGCATGGTTCCAGTTCGATTCCTCACCGGACCAACCAAGTCATTCATCCCTCCGGGGTCGGGAAATTGGTACCGTTCTTGTCTGGGAAAAAATTAATTTCTGCAATCCAATCGGGATTGCTCCAGCCCGGCTGTCTCAAGACTATTGAGAGAATTGCTCGACCAGCATTCTACGACATTCAAGATGAAATGAAAATCCTCAATCAGCAACCGAAGACATGCGTAAAGTTGGAAGATTTTCGTGGACAATGGATGCGAGGGAACGAATCGAATGTGTGAAGTGCTGGAATCCGCACAGTAGACGTGAGGACGGGTCAAATAGAATTATATATATATATATATATATATATATATATTTCTATTT